TGTTCTTGACTATATTTTAACAGAACAAGAGGGGGTTGTGTGATAGCTAATTCTTCATGCTGCATTTATGTAAATACTTCCACAAAAGTGGAAATACATACTGATAAAATTAGACAAAAGCTTCATGGTTGTAACAGGGTAACGGATGATCTAGGAACATGATCTAGGAACGGATGATCTAGACTGGTTCTCCAAATTATGCTCTTGGATTCCTCACTGTATTCTTTCTGGGATCTTCAAATTTAGCCTTTCCCTTTTACTACTAATTTTCTTGATTTGTCTCATGAAAAATACATTCATTAAATGTGAACTAAAATGTTGTTTCAAAATAATAGACAAAAGCACCCAAGTAATGGTACTGGAGATGTTCAATCATTCACCTATGACTCGTGAGTACTTTCAGCTGGAGGCTCAAAACTTTCATTCCTGGCCTGGCGCAGTGGCTCGCGCCTGTAATCCTAGCACTCTGGGAGGCCGAGGCGGGTGGATCGCTCAAGGTCAGGAGTTCGAGACCAGCCTGAGCAAGAGTGAGACCCTGTCTCTACCAAAAAAAATAGAAAGAAATGATCTGGACAACTAAAAAAATATATATAGAGAGAAAAAATTAGCTGGGCATGGTGGTGCATGCCTGTAGTCCCAGCTACTCGGGAGGCTGAGATAGAAGGATTGCTTGAGCCCAGGAGTTTGAGGTTGCTGTGAGCTAGGCTGATGCCATGGCACTCTAGCCCAGGCAACACAGCGAGACTCTGTCTCAAAAAAAAAAAAACAAAAAACAAAACAAAACTTTCATTCCTCACACCCCAGCTATACCCTGCTTCAGCAGGAAGTAGCCAGATCTGTCAATGCCCTGATTCCCCAAGATTGAGGGATGAATGAAGAGAAGGGGAAAAGTTGTAACTGGCTCCATAAGCAAGAAAATGTTTTTTAATAGTGTTTTTAGTTCCCTTTTATTTTAAATGAGTTTTCAGTGCTCACCTGTGGCTAGAGCTGGCTACTCTAAGTGGTCTTGAATTGATGATCCCGTAGACAGTGAGTTTTATCTCAACACCAGTAACGTAGCAACTGCACTTTCAAAGTAGGCAGAAAAGAAAATAGAGCACTTAGCAAACTCAGGAAGATTTGCTGACCAAAACTTTGTAACTTTCCGTTGTACTGCATCCCTTTTGAGTTTCTTTCCCAGAAACAGGGGAATCTCGTTGCAGCCACAAGATAACTACAAAGCCTTACACGACCTGTTTGTCCAGAGAAGACAAGATAAGCAACACCCACTACATATCATGCCCAAGGACCCGTTGAGCAGCCCATTCCCTGCATCCCACCTGCACGCAAGGCTGAAAGAATGAGCAATATTAACCCCTAGCTCATTATGCTACTAAAATCCCCACCCTGGGAGGGACTTATCTGCCATTTTTTGATCATGGGATGTATGCACTAGCATGATTTATCACTGCGCTTGCATGCTCTGCACTCCACCCCAAACTTGTAAGGATGCTCACTCCCCTCATGCATTATTCATTTCACCTCCAGAAAAACTCCTGACCTGTGGGTCAGGGAGGCCAATTTGAGGCAGTCCATACCTCCCACCTCCCAGTTGATGCATCTCCTGCAATAAATCCTTTCTTCTTTGACAATCCTCTTTGTCTCAATAATTGGCTTTCTGTGCTGCAAGCAACAGTGAACCCCCGCTTGAGGGTTCGTTAACACAACCACCATGACATAGATACCATCACCACATTTTGACTGATGAGGAGGTTCAGAGAGAGGTGGAGTAACTTATTCAGAGTCACACAGTGGGTAAGTGACCCAGCTTGCCCTTTAACCTAGGGCAGTCTGCCTGCAAAACCCTTTCTCCACTGTATGGGTTTGGTAGGCAGTGGAGCAGCATTTTGTGGACACGTGTGGTTGGTGTCACTGCAGGGGTCACACACAGAGCATTTCCTGGGTAAAAATTCTAACCCCCGCAATAAAGGCAACAGCACCATTCAGGAAAGCCAGTGTGTTCAGAAGACAGATCATGCCTCAGTCATTTCTCTAGACAATAAATCCAGGACAAAAGCATTCAGCCAGCCTGGCTGGTGCTGGTGGGAAATGAAAAATAAGGAAGTGTATTTCCCAGATCCTTTCTTCCCCATTACCTGATACCACTTTTAAATAGATTGTGAAGGATATTTTAGACAAATGCAGCCCTTTTCCCTTGCGGCAAGTAATGTCCTAAAAGCTAATTTATTTAGCATCCTATTGATTAGAAAGTAGTGATACAATACAATGAGAATTGATGACCCAAAGGCAGCAAGCTCTCCTAAGAGTTTTATGACTCATCATCAAAATGCAATTATATTCCAAAGGGGCAGAGCGTTAAATGTGCCTTATTGAATTAAATTTATCGGTCATTGTTCAGCCACACACGGTTATGTGAACTCTGTAGAACCAGAATACTCGGACCAGAGTAACACAATCCCTGGCCATGCTGGCTTTTCTGCCATTGAATCCAGATAAATATGACTCACTGCGTCATATATACTTAACTTCATCACAGGAAGACTGTGGAGAGGATAGACTGAACTAGAAAATACATAGTAGAAAATGATCTGAAGACAGTCCTTTCATAATATATCATTTCTAGGGAGAAATTAAGCACTACAACTTGGGATCCTATAGTGATTCCTCAGTGCATTTGGTAAGGTCTTTGGCATCTGTTATGTTTAAGAGATAACATATGGAAAAGGCATGTGTATGCCTCATAACTGGTAAGGGCTCCTAAGTGGCAGCGATTGTTGTTATAATATTATAATAATATAATTATCTAATATATAATATTAATTATATATCATATACTATTATATAATTTTATTATTATATAATTATATAGTTATAATTAATATTATAACTATGTCATGATGTTTGCCTTGTAGGTACTTATAAAGCAGAAGTAGGTTGGTAAAACTGGCTTGTGTTGTCTTTTGTCTTCAAAAGAGGAGTAGGTGTGTGTCTTTGGTCTTAGTCTAAGACTCACTTAAACACAGTGCAATCTAATAATCACCATACTATTCTCCCATTCTATGCTTTTAATGTATCCCAAATAAACAAACAAATGAAAAGCAGGCATGAGACAAAAAAAGGTTGTTTCTCAAATGCAAAATCTTTGTGGGAAAGGGGCTGTGAGCCAGGTTGTGGAGTAAAGCCCCAGCCTAGAGAAGGCGGCAGAAAATGCCAATGTTCTCGTTGTCTGTCCTTTGCTGTGTGAGTCCGGGTTCTCCAGAGAAACAGAACCAATAGGCTGTGTTCCTATATGCAGAGAGATTTCTTTCATGGAAATGGCTCATGTGATTACGGAGGCTGGCAGGCTGGAGAGCCAGGAAGAACCGATGCCGCAGTTCAAGCCCAAAGGCCAGCTGTCCACTGTAGAGTTCCCTCTTGCTGGGGGAGGCCAGTCTTTTGTTCTAGTCAGGGCTTCACCTGATTAGATGAGGCCCACCCATGTGGGGGAGGGCAATCTGCTTCCCTCACAGTGCACTGATTAAAACGTTAATCTCACCCAAAAACACCTTCACAGAAATATGCAGAATTATGTTTGACTATATATCTGGACACCATGGCCTAGCCAAGTTGACACATAAATTAATCATCACAATCTCTCTCTCTCTCCCTCTCTCTCTCTCACACACACACACACACACACACACACACACACACACACACACACACTTGAGCAAGGTTCACAACAAAGTGAGAAAGGAAGCACCACGTGCTGATGTCAGCACCAAGGCTGTCATGGGACGCACCAAGGAGGCCACACGCCCAGTGAGAGGAACGCTGAGCGTCACTGCGTCGATTCCAAGCCAGGATTTTATCTCTTCTTTTTTAATCAGAAAAAGAATCCATTGATTCTGAAAACTGGCCTTATGTATCTAAGATGCTATTTTTAAAACCTCTGAGGTAAATATTGTTAAATCCCCATCTCACAAAGAAACTCTTTTCTGCTAAGTGACTTGCCCCAGCACTCGTCAGCTAATAGATGGAAGAATCTAAATTTGAACACAGGTCCTCAAATATCCCTTGTGACTTCTCTTCCTGCTATCCCATAGGTAAGGGAAACAGGAAGGTCAGAAACGTCAGTAACAGAAGAGTCTGTGGTGGTGAGCGTGTCAGACACATGTTGTTCCATGATCCCCCCTCTGGCTCGGGAAACTGTGGGGAGGTGCCCTCTCACAGAGACACAGCCAAGCCTGCCAACCTCCCCTCCTAAAGAGATTTGGGGATGCTTTTGGGAGGAAGACGTGTCCACATTTCCCAATTCGCCACGCTCTCTGGGCAGTCGCCATTGTTGGAGATTCTTACTGAGGCCCCAGGAAGGCTCTACACAGGCCACGGGCCAGGCCTCCGATCTCTGCACTGCTATACCTAGCCTCACGGCTGCTTGGAGTTGGTGGCAGAGCTATTCCAAAGAGCCGCTGAGATGCAGGCAGCTAGTGACAAGGCTGCTCTTTGGTCTCTAGCTGGCCCCTTACAGCACCCTAGACAGCCCACTCCAGGGTTCCTCTTGAAAGACCATGTCCTTGGGTCGTGGTTAGAAGTGCCTTTGTTTATGGCTGGGTGTTCAGAGGGTGGAAACATCCAGACGGTGATGGTTATAGAAGCACTTGTGCTGTTTGCTTTTGAAGTTTGTGTTGGGATTTGGTCTGGGAAAGTGGTCTATCTCCTTTCTTCCTCCTGTGCCCTCCTCCTGCCCACCCCCCAAATTTGTACTTCAAATGGTGAAGAGAATCCTGTTCCTGCTTTAGTTCACCATCTGGCCTTCAGTAGGACCAGGGGCCTGGGGAGCGGGGAAGAGGCTGGGTGTGTGGCAGAGTCACGGGTACTCTAGATGCAGGCATGCTTGAAAATCACACACCAGTCCATGGCACGTGACCCAGCCGGGACCCCAGAGCAAGCCGGTTCTGCCATGGCCATCTTCTGGTGAGAATGATGCAGGAGAGTCTACCCTCCCCCTGTAGCGCCTCTTACTGCAAACAGTTGGCCAGTGCACATTTGTCAAAGTTCTGGAAGTCATAGGTAGGCTGAAAAACAATGCACGATCAGTCAGTCTAAGCCAAGGCAGCTATGTGCAAGTACTAACTTGCAGTATCCAAAGGGTAATCCAGGCAGTTTAATACAAAGACAATGATCAGAAACCAAGAAAGTGGTTGCTTTAATTCAAAAACCATATTACTAGCAATTAGGTGTTAAGTGTGAGAGGAGCCTGCACCAGGAAAAAGATAATAACATATTAACTCCTTCAGATCTGAAAACAACACTAGTTATGAGGCACATACCATTATTATCACTGTTTTCTAGATAAAGGAGCTCAGACCCAGGGAGTGTAATTGAACCTGCACAAAGGAACTCAATGTGTAAATTGGTACCACCAGGATTCAAACCCAGCAAGTTCGATTCCCAAGTCTAAAAACTTAACCACTCTACTACACTGCATTCTAATTATATAATTTTTTGTGCTAATGAGACACTATCAGGCCTGTTGAGATATATTATTTTTTAATTCTCCCATCTTATTTTGCATAATAGTATCACATACATTGGTTTGTAATAAAGACCATAATAAAATTGTATGTTTTCTAAATATTTTATAATTTAGATTTTTTTCCACTAAATAATATCTTGTCCATGCCTTTCCTCCATAAATTCTCAAATATAGATTTTACGGGGCTAGCCAATTTTAACCCAAGAAGGTTATTTAAAATCTGTGATCACATTAGATTCTTAATCCAGTGCTCCCTTCCCTACACGGTGTTGCTTCTTTTAGGTCACAGTAAGTTTTAGTTTCTTTCAAGATTGTTTCCATTTTATCAGAAATTAAAACCTTAAATTAAGTACTAATTTATTTCCACATCTCAATGAATGAGATGAAAAGAAGCTGAAATGAGATTTGGGTTGTCTGGTTTTTATTTTTGGGGAGAGATTTTTTTTTTTTTAAACTCAGAGCCTTCCTAAAATCATACCATGGAGATAATCTCATTCTGCATCTGCAGGTAGGTGAACAGTGTGCTCTAAGGTGAGTAGAAATTTTATAGGGTTTTTAAAAATGTCGTTCCAACGCCTTACACAGTCCTGCTAGTGTGACCTGACTCTTCGCATGCGTGTGTGATGTCATAACACCCCTGAGCCTCCATTCTCTCGACTGTGAAATGGAGACAGTAATCTCTATTTCTTGGAGGTGTGAGATATCACTACAATAGTAAAGATAAATACCTAACACAAAGCCCGATACAAGGATGGAAACAATGACAGTTATAATTCCCATGATTCCCCTAGTCTGAGCTCTACCAATCACCAGTTACGTGACTTTGGATATGTGTCTTTCTTCCAGATTCTGTTTCTGTCCTTGTGTCTAGACGTGAAAGGGTCCTGCTGACTCTGGCTCTCACGTCATCTCATTTGCTTGGAAACTGGACCAAAGAGAAAGCAAACTGAGCGTGAGCTTAATAAACGACAGGATGCTGAAGGAATAGAATGGTGATTATACACTAGCCACCACTTATTAAACTCTTACTGTATGTCTAAGTACAACCATTTAGACATCTAACCCTCACAACAATCCTATGATGTAGGTAGCTACTTATGAAGCAGGTATTTTAATTATCCTCGTTTTACAGATGCGGCAACTAAAGCAGAGAGGGGTGAAGCAGTGTGTCTCAGAGCCCTCGTTCCTCACCACCACACTGTACTGCGGGTGTAGCAACAGTCACCATGATGACAGCTTATATTATACTTAGAACCTGCAGGGCACTGGCCACTCACTAACATAACCAGACGGAGAATCCTGGTCATCTAAAGAAAAACAAAAAACAAAACAACTTCTAGATGTCCATATTTTAGGGAAGCAAAATTCATCTGAGATGCACGGTGTTTTTATTCATCCCAGTAGTTATCAAGCCTAGGGACACATTAGAACCACCTGGGGATCTTTTAAAAAATACCAGTGTCCAAAATCTACCCCAGTCCTGGATGTGGAACTCAGGCATCAGTAATTTTTTAAAACTTTGCAATTTTAAACTCTGACTCTGATGCCAGGTTGAGAACTACTGGTTTACTTCAGTCAGACATACTTAGGATCGTTTTCAGTTGTGAACATGATTGGAAAGGAAAAAATTGTCAACAAAGAAAATAAATGTTCTGCATAATACAGTTACAAGAATTTGGAGTCTTCTTCAAATGGGAAGAAGAGTTGGGGGCCCTAGAACAGAGAGAAGAATATTTGGAAAGAGATCTGGACAGTCCAGGAGGAAAGACAGGAGATCCAACAAAAGGACACTGGACGAGACCCTGCAGGGAATGAGGGTGTGGTAAGTCGCAAACCTTCCATACTTCACTCCTCCCACCTCCATGCTGTTTGCAATATGACTTTGCAACTCCTTCTGTTCAAGGGTGGGGTCTGTTTCCCCTCCCCTTGAACATGGGCTGACCCTGTGGCTTGCTTTGGCCAACAGAATGCAGCGGCTCCCAGTTCAAGCCTAGGTCTCAGGGACCTCGCACGTCCCCACTCACTGGCCGTGCCAACAAGCCTAGGCTGATCTGCAAGTTGACGGGACACGTGGACCAGAGCCCAGAGAGTCCCAGCCAAGACCTCAGACTTGTGAGAGAGTCCCAACAAGACCAGAAAATCAACCCGCAGTTCACTGAAGACCCACATGAAGATCCAGCTGAAACCAGAAGAGCCACCCAACTGATCCTAAATTGCTAACACACAGAATTATCATCACTAAGTTTGGGGATGGTTATGTAGAATTAACCAATTGAAACAAACGGCCAGTGAGATGGCTGAGAGACTTTAGAAGAGTAATGTCTAATACTCAGTTTTAAGTTGTTGTCTGGTCTATGCTGTAATTCACAGGGGGCTTGAAAATTCTGCAGAGGCAGGAAATGAGAGCAAGAGGTCATCAGAAGAACAAAATGTCCCGAAGGATTCTAGAGCTGTGAGGGAGGGGAGATTGGACAGGCCAGAGCACGTGGAGTGGGCCTGGGCTAGGTCTGCGGGGATATTAAAGGCAGGAGTGACTCTGCCAGGGCAGAGGGCTCAGAAACGTACTGCAGCAGCCCCTGAGCATGTTGGTGTTACTCCGTGTCATCCTCATGCCAACCCTAGCAGGGGGATATTTATTACCTCATTTTATAATCCGAGGATTAGGGAGGTTAAATAACCTTCCCACGATGACTCAATGAGTAAGTGGTGGATCCAGGAGTGTCGACTCAAGCTCTTGGACTGTATCTAATTCGGTGATCAGAGTTCTGAACATTTATTCCTGAAACTCCAAGCTCCCAGGCCTCCACTGCACCCTGTTCTTGTCTGAAGCCTGAATAAAGTGATCCCAAATCCCCGGATCCAAATGTTCCCCTCCCAACCCTCCGCCTGGGACTTTTGCTCCAATGAACACTCCTGTTGGCTTCCTTGATCCGGTCTATACTGCTGTCAACAAGACCAGTGCTTCAGTGTTCCTGTGGCCACGCTGTCCTTCCCCTACCTGGTGGGGCCTCAGATCGGGAGCTGAGAACCAGCTGGGGTCACACCTCCCTGCTCACTCCAGCGATCAAATTCCTGTTCCCCAGACCTGTGCTCTGCGGCTCAGAGCAGGCTTCACAAGTCCCAGCGTGTTTTCCAACTCTCTGTGTACAGGACAGAAAACCAAGACGTGCCCGGGGTCACAGCAAACATCAGGACAGAGAAGAGCCGGCCCCAGGGCTCCTGTCCCTGCCCCGCTCTCTGCCAATGCAGGGTCAAAATCATCTGTGCACGCTGGAAATTTCCTCCTTCAAAAATTATGTTTCTTGAGAATAAAAACAAAAAACAAAACTGCCACCTGATTCCTCTTTCAAATTCCAAGAGAATACACAGGCTTGATTTTACCTCCCCAGGCCTTCAGGGGGTGGGAAGGGGTCAATCAAGCTCGTTATTCCCCATCTGCTCGGTGTTTGGCGTCCGTATTTCGCGCAGCTAGCGAGCAGCCCCGGGGCCTCCGAGCCGGGAAGGACCCGAGCTCCGGCTCCCCCCGCCCTGGCGCGCGTTTAGTCTGGCAGCGCGGGCGCGGCCCCCCGGGACAGCAGGCAGGTCAGATAAAAATTAATTGGATGTGAAGCGCCCTCTCTCATGCTGAGTGCAAACCCACTTTGGCGCCTCCCACAATCTGCGAGGAGCTTTTATGATAATTAATCATCTATTTTATGGGAGGGCGGCTGTGGAGACAGCTTGGTCCGGGTCCCTGGCTTTCAGGGCATGACTGTGAGTCGCTCCACGGTGACTCACAGATGCCAGCCTCATACCCTTCTCTGTGGAGGCCGTGACCTTCATCCATCAGTGTCCGTCACCCCGGGGTGACTTAGCCGTCAGAGCCGCCTCTCCTGGGGCGTGCAGGAGTTGGATCAGCCCCCTACGGCTTGCAGATCCATCTCTGGGCTGCTGTTTACTCCACCCCTGGCCGTGCCCGAGCTGCTGGCTACCTTAGAAGGTCCCTTCCTAGTGTCTGCACCACCCACGCACTTCCTGTTGCTAACCAGTGAGTCTGAGCTCATCATGGCTGCTTGCAAGATAATTAAAAACGAGAGCCGGCAGGGTCAGCTTTCAGCCGGCAGGCAGGCCCCCACTGACCAGCCACTTACCTCCTAAGAGGTGTCCTCACATCCAGTGGACTTTGAACCCTGCAAGTCTGGAAAACCACTGGGTGCGAGTGCAGGGGGAGGGGCAGGAACATGGTGGGGGAGCCATGACTTTGGACCCAGAAGGACTTGGGTTTGAATCCCGCCCCTGCCGCCCTCCTGCTGAATGTTTTCGGCTAAGTTATTTAACCCCAGCCCGAGGCTCCTCATTTGTAGCATGGAGACAACACACCTGCCGCATGGGGTTACTATGATGAGGTAAAGTGTCTGCACCAAACGAGAGGTGTGCGCTCTGCCTAGGATGGGCGATTTAGCCCTGCACCGTCTCTGGGAACTAAGGCCGGGCTTCCTGTCGGTGGAGAGTGACACGAGCTCCACTGTGTGTCAGCCTCCTCTCGATGGCCTGAGGCTG